ACTGTATTGTAGAACTGTGTGGTTTTCAATACAAAAAATTAGATAAAAGAATGGTGATTATGGAGTCGTCTCGAATCGTTGAATTGCGCCAAAAATTTTTGCACAAAGTTAAAATCTATAGAGAGCAGAAAAGAAATCTGATTTACCTGGATGAAACCTGGTATGATACCTATGATGTTGTGCAGTACGGCTGGGTTGACGACAGCAACAAGTGCATTTTAAATGCACCATGCAACCGTGGAAAACGAATCATTATTCTCCATGCTGGCAGTGAAAATGGATTTATACCTAATGCCTTGCTGTTATCTACCAAAAATATCAAAGAATCATGTGCCGACTATCATGAGGACATGACCTCCGACTTATTTGAAAAGTGGATAGAGCAGCAGTTAATACCGAACATTTCCCCAAATTCAGTGATTATTATGGACAATGGGCCATACCATTCCCGACAGAAAAACAAAATTCCGAATACAGGCGCAAAAAAACAAGACATTATTGATTTTATGAAGGATAAGGGAATGGAAATACCACAAAAATCAACCAAAGCCATATTATTGGATCTTATTAAAAGACAAAAATTTGAAAAAGAGTATGTTGTTGACAATCTGCTTCAGCAAAATGGCCATGAAGTATTACGTCTACCTCCCTATTACTGCATTTTTAACCCGATTGAGTTGGTCTGGGCTGCTTTAAAAAAAAGTAAGAAAACATAATCAGACCCCTCAATTAAGTGAATCGCTATTGGCCACAATAAGAGACGCAGTATCTCATATTGCTGCCACAGACCTATGGAAGCAGTGTCTAGGCATATTATTGAAAAAGAAAATGAATATTGTGTTTTGCCTCCTGTAAATCCCGTTGTAATTCCTCTACAAGATGACTCTAGCGACAGCTCCGAAGGCGAGGATGATATATAAATACCTATAATGTAAGTCTTTATATACCTTTTTATATACCTACCTGCTATGTAAATATTTGCCTATGTCAAACGTTGGAATTCTGTAATTTTTCCATTTCTTAACTTTCAGTCAACATAAATTAAACTCCCAATATAAGTATTTTTTATCCCAAATCAAAAAAATAAGAAGATAGTAAAATCCATTTATTGTGATATAAAAACATTATTATTGTCGTTCTAAATAAATTACCGCACGCCTATGATACGTCATGAAATTACAAAGGACGCGCCGACCAAAGGTTTTTATGCTATTTCAAGTGACTTCAGATATACCATACTTGTATTGATCGACCAGCCAAAGATTGCTAGGGACGAAAGGGGGAAATGCGATGAAAAAACCTTACCATTAGACGATTTTATATGGAGTCATAGGCGGAGATCGGAGAGACTTGAATTATTAATTGAATTTATATTTTATTACAACTGGTAGTATTAATATTTTTTTGCGATTCATAATGACGTGATACCAAACATACATTATAAGAAATAAATATACACAAACACTGAATATTGAGAACAAAATAAATATATTTTTTAGGCAACAAGTAATATTCCTATGTACGCATTATGATTGAACAGCAAAACAAATTATGCATTCTTCTAAAATAGAATACAACAAGTCAAAAATATCTGACTGAATAGAAAAATATAGGAAAACAAAAAGTAATTTCTTGATGAAATAACCCATAAACAACACATAGAATTAGACTTTCTACTGAGATACTAAAAGCCACAAACCAATAGTATAATAAATGAATATCTAAAAATTCTAAAAGGTAGCCAATCTAGTATAGTTTCAATCCTGATTAGAGTCATGATCACTGTCTGAGGAACTGTCATTGCTATCACTTTCACCTCCTATGTTGATTATTATTTCTTCCTGTATTTCTTGAATGAGACTGTCTTTTTCCCAATATTCATCTTCAATTTTTATAACATGTCCAATAACCTTTTGCCAGTCACTGGCACTTACTGAAGCGATGGCCTTATTAGAAATTTCATCTAGTTTTTTTATAGTAAATTCGCCGCTTGTATTATGGCTTCTAATGAAAAATTTTACTTGTGCCCAAATCATCTCTATGGGATTAAACTGACACATATAGGGTGGCGTTCGAAGTGGGGTGTGTCCGAAACTTCTTATTAAATTATCTATCTTATAATTTTTCTCATCAGATGGTGGCCTATGTAGACAAGCTATTTCATAAAGCTCCATTTTTTTAGCATTAGGATCATGCTCTATACCTTTTTTGCTCAACCACGTGATGATGTCTCTTTTTAGAGAAGATCTAGTTGGAGGCTTGTCTTCCAAAGCTGAATGGTAAGGTGCATTATCCATTATTATAATACTATTAGGAGGAATGTTAGGAAATAGTTTTTCAGTAAGCCACTTCGTGAAATTTTCTTGGTTCATTTGACCGTGATAATCACCAGTGGCACAGCCAGCCTTGAAAATGAGACAGGCTCCAGGAACAAAACCATCTTGCGAACCCGCATGAACAATTATAAGTCGTCCTGGAAATGAATAAATAGCCTCATTTTAGTGTTATTTTAAGTTTGCCAACACCTTTTTGAATCACTATGTATAAAAAACATATTTTTGAGAAAAAAATACTTGCAAGGGATTATGTATTCAATTAGACAAATTAAATGAGCACTTATTAAGAATATTCCAAAATTGAGAAAAATGTATAATAAGCAAAATCGAGGTGAAAGAAACTTTATTACCTGTAGAACTTATATTGCTCAGGACACCCATAATTTCTTCGCTTTGCCAGCATTTCTTGAAAGTGAGGTCATTATCAACCCAAGTTTCGTCCAAATAAATAATATGCCTTCCTTCTTCCCGGAACTTTTTAATAGACCTAAGATACTTGTATCGCCAATGTAAAATACTGGGTCTTTCCATTAGTAATTTCCTTTTGTTGTGGCATTTACGCCAGTAAAATCCTTTTGCTTTTAAAAGCAGCCTCAACGATTCTTTACCAAATGGAAATTCCATTTCTTCCTTCAGTTTGATTAGAAGTTTACTACAAGTAGGTACCACTTTAAAATCACAGTAAAATTTTTCTATCATTCTCCGAATAATGGAAAAATCGACTCCATCAATTTTTTGGATCACAGAAGGGCGTGATCTCTTTTTTCCGGGAGAAGCTAAAGGCTGTGTGGAGGTTGCATTTTGCCTGTCTTTATCTTCTTTTCTAATTTTACTTATAGTTCGTTCACTAACACCCGTATAATATGCCGCCCTTGCATTTCTAGCTACCAGTGGATAAACGAAAGTATTGTTAGCCGCTTCTGCATCGCAAGCACGTATCACGTTTGCTATTATTTCCCTTGCCTGGCTGTGAATAACTTTCCCATGCTTGAATTCCATTATCACCACTAAACAGTAAATTATATTTTCAAAGTATTTGCCAACTGCCTACGCCTATGGGAGTAGGTTTATAAATGACCGTGCCATCGGCACGTTATTCTAGTTTCAGATAAGATAAGAGTTTTGGACCAATCAGCGACCGGATGTTTACCTGCGGCCTGGGTTTTCCAGCTACATTGCCAAATTCAGCGGAACAATTCTATATCTTAAATATGTTAATATGTATGGACCGCATTTTATGTAGAACATCTGACAACTTCGCAATTTTTTGTCCGCATTCTTTCGGCTTGCAATCTTTCGCTGGTCCAACTATACATGAATGTGCAGATACGCGACAGGTGTATACCGGGCTTCCGCGTTCCGCGATCCGCGCGCGTGCGTTGGCTGCTGTTGTTCTTCAACTGCTTCATACGACTGACTCTTTACGACTGACTGCATTCCTAGTGCGGCGCGCGTGGACCGACGGCTGGTACAAGCTTCAAGGTTTAAGGCTACGTGTCTGGTCGTCTGGCCAGTAGCGGCGCGGCAGGGTGACGCTAGTACGCGTTTCAACAGTTGGTGATGGACCCATGTTTCATCCATGGTTATGAAACGACGCAAAAATTCTGCTTTGTAGCTATGAAATTCCGCTAAACACTCAATCGAAACATCTTGACGACACTGTTTTTGCTCGATTGTGAGCAATCGCGGCACCCATCCTGCACACAGTTTTCTCATGTCGAAATTTTCAGATAATATGCGATGAACCGCACTTTTTGAAATGTCTACTATGTCTGCTAGCTCGCGCACTTTCAGTCGACGATCATTCAGTACCGCTTTGTGAATTTTCTTCAATATTTCTGGAGTCGTCACTTCATTTGGTCGACCACTGCGATGCTCGTCTTGGCAGCTCATACGGTATCGTTTTAACTCTGCTGCCCAATATTTTACTGTTGTAAACGAAGAAGCAGACTCATCCAGAGTAGAATCCAGTTCAGCTTTTATATTGGTTGAAGCCTTTGAAATAAAAGTATTGTACCACATAAAGGTGACCAATTTTCTCCATTTTCATAAATTCACTGAAAACGTTCAGTATTGATGGCTGCCAAACAAATACTAAACAACGAGGCACTTTCAAACTTGACACATATGCTATATAGGTTGCATACTTTCTAATACAATGATATTTTTCAAACAACTATCGCCGTCTCTAGGCCAGGCCGGGTACTTCTGGGACCACCCTCGTATGCAGTTAGTCCTGACTTATGGCAACGATGCATGGGGAGCATCACCCGAGCTGCAAAGACTTTTTGTGTCACAAAAAGGGCTGTTTATTGCAAAGATTTACTTAAAACTCTTAAAATTCTAACCTTGCCATCTGTGTATATACTAAATGTATTAATCCATGCTAAAACGCACTTGAGCAAGTTTAGTATTATAAACACTGGTGCGTACTTTACAGATATGTGACCAAACAGGATTAATAAATTATATTATTATCATCCCTTGTGACGCATTTGAATATGACTCGGTAGCTCTGAAGGCGCCAAACAAAGGCAGAAGCTTTGGAACGAACTTTGAGCTAGTTTATCTTCTGAATACTTTCTTAATCCATAATCCGTAAATTACTTACAAGTTTTAACATCGAATTTCCTTAAAAGTATTCTACATTATTTTATAACTTACCGACATCAGCGTACTCAAAGTCAAAGGAAATACACCACCTGCGCGAAGTTCAAGTGGTCGTTTGGTCCGTTCCATGATCAAAAAGAGGTGATTCCGTACATTTGACGAACAGGCATTGTACCAATCTGTCAAATAGTATGAAATGCTTATCTCTATGCTCTAGAATAAGAACAAGAATGGCATAATTTGAACTATCGTATGTACAGGTGTCGATAACTGCTTATATCATAGGAACTTGAACCCTTATATTACACAAGGACTAGTAGCGCTGTCTATCGATATATCAACCCTTCTAACCCTTAGACCCAATTTTACCAGAGCGCAAAGAACCATGTGGATCACAAATTCATTCAAAGAAAATGCGTCTTTGAAGTGATGCATCTAATGGATATGGTCGATTCCTTATAAAATGTCTCTCAAACTAGAGACTAATTATACGGTTTGGGCCCCTATGTCTGATATTAAATCAATGAAATCGCATTAATCACTTGGTTTAATTAGAAAAACTTATTTTTTCGTTTGTGTTCGGGCAGTAAATTAGCGGCTATGATCATATAATGAACCAATGGAAAATATGCATTTGCGTCATACGCAAAGCACGGTCGCAAATCTGATACGATATCTACAGTATATTCAGATAAGAGATAGACCGGACATAAACAAGACCACGTGATCATCGAACGCTGTAACATTCGGCAGGGACGTATTAAGAGTCACGCAGTACATATTTTAGATAGTAGATGCTGCTTTGCGTAACTTTGTAGTAAATTAGCACAATTCGATGTGTATACGATTGGTGATGGATATAGGATCATGTGGGGGTGGGGTAAGAAATATATAATGATGTAAATATACATAAGGGTTTCAAAATTTTCGCTTCGATTTCCAGCTCGGATGCCGCCTGATGTTTGGTGAAATACAGTCGAATATAATCTCAAAATGGCGTTTAAATTAGCCTAAATTAAAAATAATCGTATATCTCTTAAAATTGCTTTTAGAATACTGATTAGTATATTTTTTGATTTCTAGGTAAATATGTAACCAAATTAAAACGTTCAACACGTAAAAAAATGTGCATGGTTGAACATTGTCAGAAAGTAGATTCTTGAATAGGTTTTGCCAAAATGGGTTCAAAAATGTCAATAATTAATTAAAAAATACAGTAGCTTTATAATTACTTATAACTTACCGAATTTGATGAACGACATCTTTTATTGGAAAGATGAGCTTGATGAGCTTTCATCATCGCTACTGCCTGAAGCACCAACGTCAATACTGGATGGCTCGACTTGTTCCTCTAAAATATTGTCCAGTTCCCACATTCTCTTTTCAACTTTGTCTTTCACGTGCTTAATACAGTTTTCCCATTTTTGCGCTGTTATTAATTCTAGTGCTTCTTTGAAAAGTCCTTTGAGGTCACAAAATTTAAAAGTTGTATTGTGCTTAGCTATATAATTTTTAACCTCTGCCCATATGAGCTCAATGGGATTGAGCTCGCAATGGTATGGAGGTAAACGGAGCACAGTTTTATTTTGACTTGCTGCCATTTCGTCAATGGCGTATTTTTGATATTCCGCCTTGTGATCCTTGACAATTCTTAATAATTGTACTTTCAGCATTGCTTCTTCAAAGTTGATATTTTTCGAGCGGAGCCAATTTTGAACATCAACTTTCCTTGAAGCCGTTGTTGGGACCTTCTCCATTCTTCGAGAATGATAAGGCGCATTATCCAACACAATTACTGCGTTATCCTCTAAGTTCGGTAAAATTTTTGAAAACCACTGTTCAAACGATTCGCCATTCATTTCCTCGTGGTAATCTCCAGTTTTCTTAGACTCAAAGCACCACAGACCGTCAACAACAAATCCATCCTCACTGCCAATATGGCAGATAATTAGCCTTTTCCCTTTACCTGGAAATCGAAGTACTAACTGGTGTAGATTTATTTCAATAAGCGAACCTTTTTCAAATGTTTTCATCACATTTGGCGAAAAAACATTGAGACATGAGTATCAGATTGCTATAATTGGGATTATTTAGTCATATTGAAAGAAAGAATATTGAACGTCGTATGATTACTCAGCGCTTCACAATTTAATTTAAAGTTATAAACCTTTAAAAAATGAATGATCAGGAACCTGAAATATGCGCAAATATTAATATTAACAAATTATAACTTTAAAAGCTTAAAGTATGAATTAAAATGATCAGAAATATTAGGAACGGTACACAATATAAAACTTAGTAACTTTTTTTAAGTTTATAATATTCAACATATTTTAAGATTATATTAAAAAATTATTGAAATATCGAAAACACATAAAAACATGGCTTAAAAAAGTTCTAACAAATGAAAATGACAATAAAACATCCACGCATTTTATCGAAAGTTATAAAAGTTTTGTTACTTGTAATATGTTTTATCTGCCCCCTGGAATTAATGTTTAGAACCTTGTTCCCAAGGTTTGAAAAACATCCGATTGTTGTCTATTACTCGTATTTACCTGCTGGATTTTTTAATCCGGTGGACAGTCCATCTAGAAAGGCCCTCCTGGATGAAGTTACAGAATCATCAACCCATACTTTACTTGTAGTGTGTCCTGCGTTTACCCACGTTTCATCAAGGTAATAAATCTTCCTGTTTTGATTTCTATATTTCCCGATTTTTGTTAAATAATCCCTCCTCCATAGCACAATTTCTTCTCTATCCAGTAGTAAACTATTACGACCCCGTTTTTTCCATTTGAAATTTAAATGCTTCAGTAACGCATGGAAAGTTGATCGTTTGAAATTTGGCAACGTTGTATCTCCATTTACCTCCTGCAGTACTTTATCTATAGTAGGTATTTCATTCCTAAAGAAGAATTCATGCACTTTCCTCCTAATCGCATGCTTATCAGCTTCATCCAATGATTTAACAATACTTTTGCGATGTTTACTGGTCATTGGCTCAGAAAAGGTGTGATTTTTTTTGTATTGTCTTAACACATTAAACACTGATGCGCGACACACCCCCAACTTTGTGAGAAACCTTCACAACAATTTCTTTGATGGTTGATGCCTCGTTCTCCTCGCGCTCGATCTTATATATATTCAAAATGACCTCTTTCATTTCTGCACTCAGGTGTCTTTTTTTAGAGCGTTTCCTAGGTGGACTACAGGAGTTTACAACTTCATCGGCAGTATCTGTACTACTGGGCATTTTGCGCAAGCAGTTGATAACAATAACAATCAATAACAAGGTATAACAATAACAACGACAAACTCAACAACTTAATAAGATAACAAACGGAAACGTCCAAAGAAATATCAAATTGCAATGATGCACACGACATACGTAACACGTCTGAACCTGAATGCGACTCTGCCTTGATACGACTGCTCTGCCGCTCGGCATAGACATTTAATTGCGAATTGACCAATGAGGGCTCCTGTTTTACGTCGAAACGGCGGCGTTAGAGTGAAAATCACCCGAACCTTTTGTTTACATCCGGTCTATCTCTTATCTGAATATACTGTATAGTGTATTTACACCCAAGATAGAATGGATGCGTGATTGCCAAAACCAAGGATGGCGTACAGGGCCGCATTAAGGGCTACCTCCGAATGATGGGCTACCACCAACGTGTTGTAAAACAAATATGACAGTATTTAACAGAAATAGAAACTTAACAAATTACTCAAATACACTTAACAACAACAACAGCAACAACCAAGCAAGGTGAATACGAAAACACGAGCACGCAGTGATACACGCGACGGACGGTGGCCTGAGTGCAACTCTGCCTGCCCTGCCCCTGCCCCGCGCATTATTCCGCCAGGCGGCCGCTTGAATTTTAATGACGAATTGACCAATAAGAGGCGTTGTCCCCACTTGTTACCGAGAGATCACGCGCTAACTGTTATTATTTACATCTCATCTTGAATTTGGATTCAGTGTAGATTGCTATGACAGCAATTAAATTTGCATTTCAACGTTATTGTACAAAATTCTGCATGACAAACTCAGTGAAAACGTACACAAAATCAAAGAACAAAAGTCTTCGCTGAACACGACTCAGTTCCATTCCATATTCCATTCAAGTCTCTCCCTACTCAATGCCAATCGTTGCCGACGATGCTGTGTGGTCAGAGGTAGCATAAAGTGGGGAATGTATGAAAACAGTGCAAAAGGTGTGCACTTCCATGATAGCAAATATGTTTACAATTTTGTATCAAAATTCAATGAATTATTCTGGGTATTGCATTTTATATGTTACTTAGTATATTTCTTGATTTATTATGAGACTTAGGAGGTCATGTTGCCCAAATCGTATAATATTTATGTTGTTTGAGACATTTTACAATAAATCTACAAAATTCGTTAGGCCCGTTACTTCAAATACGCCTTCTCATTGGTCCAATTTGTGTCAAAGACGCAAATTTCGATCCAGGTCGGTCAATAGTAAAATCGGACCTTAGGCGACCAAGGCGTTTCCTACAGTGGAATTACTCACAATTTTTTTTTCAAATACGAGATTTGTAGTCAACGAGTGGTTATCAATTGGATCGATTTTCATAATTATTTGAAAATGCATCTTCATATGCAAATGGTAACTTACCTTTAGCATTATGTCCTGACCGAACCAACAATAAAAATATATTTGGACGAACAAACAACAGAAGTATGCTGCTTGAATAACGAATTCAGGTGAACCAGACTCCACCTGAGATATCAAAAATAGTATACAAAGAAATAGTTATTTTGGTATTTGCTGTGTTTGAGCCTATGACTAAGGTATAACTTTCTGTACAAGTAGGAATCTAGGGAAGATTCATTATATAATAAGATAACAGGGTAAACTTTTCTCAAACTGTGCTGTGTGAATAGTGGGACATTTCACATGACGCGGACAGCGACAAAAATGTAAGATTCTGGCTGTATGGAACCTGAATAAATGAATATCATTATCTTTGTCTTTTTTTTCTAGCCTAGTTACCAATTTATGCGACTTCAAAGTATTGACATAATTTGAGGAACGGATTTTTCATAAATTAGAAATGCAGTCAATCGAATATATTTAATATACTAAGTGACATATAAATCCGAACACCCAGTTTAAATGGTTTTATTTTAATAAAATTTTGTATAAGTACTTAATGAAGCATAATAAGTAAATGATAAAAATTTCAAAATGATTGCACTGCTTTAAAGCCCTTTGACCTTTAATAATGTGTGGATGCACCCTGATGTGCTACGCATTCTCCAACGCGCCTAGGCATGCTTCTGATCAGGTGGTCAATGTCCTCCTGTGGTATCTCATTCCAGGCAACCACCAACTCCTCTCGAAGTGCTTCTAGAGTCTGAGGAGGACGTTGCGAATTGAGCAATCTCCTACCCATCATATCCCACACGTGCTCAATTGGGGATAAGTCGGGAGATCTTGGTGGCCATGGTAACTATGTGACATCATTATGTTGAAAGAAGTCTATTGTGACTCTTGCAACATGTGGTCGGGCATTATCTTGTTGAAAAGTTGGATCTGCCAGGGTGTCAAGATAGGGTAAAAGATGGGGTTCTAGAACTTCGTGGATATAACGCTGCGCGTTCATGTTACCTCTGATGAAGATTAAAGGTGACCTGGAACCATAAGCTATAGCACCCCAAACCGTAACTCCAACAGTGTGATGAACATGTCTTTCAACAAAAAACTGTGGATTCCTCCTTTCACCACGTCGCCTTCTAACCCTGGCATGACCATCGTGCATGCCTAAACAAAATCGAGACTCGTCACTAAAGACAATACTGTTCCATTCCTGATCCCAGAGTGACCGTTGTCTGCACCACTCAAGGCCATTACGTCGGTGTTCTCGAGCTAAAGGGAGGACCCAGTGTGGCCGGTATGAAAACAAGCCAAAACTTCTCATTCATCGGTAAACACTTCGCATGCCAATAGGTCTTCCGTGTTCTGCAAACCATTCATTTGCAATGGACCTAGTAGTGGAGAAACGGTCTCTTAAGGCCAATAATCTTAGGCGGCGATCTTCACGGTCTGTTGCTCTACGGCGGCGTCCAGTGCCCCTTGCTCTTTGCGTACGGCCTTCTCGAAGCCATGCCTGACAACACCTAACCACAGTGTCTACACTTCTTTGCACTCTAACTGCAATTGCCCGAAAAGAAAGTCCAGCTTTCCGAAGTCCCACTATACGGCCTCTATCAAACTCACTAGGTTGACGAAATCGTACAGGTCTCCGTACTCTAGGCATCGTAACCGATCGTAAAGGATGTCAAGAACCAAAATCCGCCAACGTTGATTCTTTACTGTGGCTGAAATATTCATTTTTAGAGCGTTAGTGAATTAAAAAAAAGCAGCATAAAAACCGAAATGTCCAACTGATAAGACGACAGAAATTTTTTTCGCTTGTTATTTACAGTAAGATAAATACATTCACCAACTTTTATTAAAATAAAATCATTTAAACTGGGTGTTCGGATTTATATGTCACTTAGTATAATAACTAAATAGTGTTTATTTGAGAATATTAATTATTTTTCTTAGTAATCGAATTTGATTTTTTTCATATAGCAAACCGGAAGGCAGTACTAAAAATTAGATTTTCTCCAACATTTTTTGATATCTTTTAAGTCAAAATATAGCTCCCTCACTTGAAAAGAAATATTATCCTTCCCATTCCGAATGGAACTGGTGCTTCTTCATCTTCTTACTACTGCTCATAATGTTTTTAATTGCAGGCCAATTCTAACCCAACCTCTGGGCTTTCTGCCGTTCACTTCTAATCTGAGCGCACTGTCGCCGCGCATTGCGTATTTATTCCGCTTAGAGTAATCGAGATCGTTCTCGAACAGATCGCTCACGTCAGTGATGCCGCTGCTTGTATTTATTATTAGAATTTACAAAATTAACGGAAGCTTCTATGATTTTTACACCTTCTTAAAATATTTTGTGAGCCTCCAAAATTGCTACCGGTAGCTCGCGATAGATGGGTTGGCGACCACAGTTTTAGGTGGTAGATTGTTTTAGAAATTTTATATGTACTAATGTACCACTTAACACTTGTTGAGGACTGTGAGAGTCGAAAATGCTAAGCTTCGCCAAACAGCCCGCTGTAATTTTGTAATTCTGTTAATAAAGACGTGTATAATCGAATATATGTATACGTAGAGCTTCAATTAATAAACAGCTATGTGGGATGTGATTAAGGACAATGGTGTGCAATCATCGAAATCTCATTCGTCTACTCTCAACGCGAGTGATTTAAACTCTTTCTTCGTCAGCATTGCTGAAACTATTATTGCTGAAATTCCAGCTAACCAGTCGAACTTCAAGGATTTTATACATACTAGTGATACACTACATTTCAGCTTTCGAACTGTTTCATTCAATGATGTTCGAGACGGAATCAAAAGCTTAAAGAATTCTAAAAGTAAGGATCCTTATAGCATCTATGTTAAAATTATGAAGACCTTAGATAACTTGATAGTCTTATCAGTTGGACATTCCGGTTTTTACACTGCTTTTTTTTTAATTCACTAACACTCTAAAAATGAATATTTCAGCCGCAGTAAAGAATCAACGTTGGCGGATTTTGGTTCTTCACATCCTTTACGATCGGTTACGCTGCCTAGAGTACGGAGACCTGTACGATTTCGTCAACTTAGTGAGTTTGATAGGGGCCGTATAGTGGGACTTCGGGAATCTGGACTTTCTTTTCGGGCAATTGCAGTTAGAGTGCAAAGAAGTATAGACACTGTGGTTAGGTGTTGTCAGGCATGGCTTCGAGAAGGCCGTACGCAAAGAGCAAGGGGCAGTGGACGCCGCCGTAGAACAACAGACCGTGAAGATCGCCGCCTAAGATTATTGGCCTTAAGGGACCGTTTCTCCACTACCAGGTCCATTGCAAATGAATGGTTTGGAAGACCTATTGGCATGCGAAGTGTTTACCGACGAATGAGAAGTTTTGGCTTGTTTTCATACCGGCCACACTGGGTCCTCCCTTTAACTCGAGAACACCGACGTAATCGCCTTGAGTGGTGCAGACAACGGTCACTCTGGGACCAGGAATGGAACAGTATTGTCTTTAGTGACGAGTCTCGATTTTGTTTAGGCATGCACGATGGTCGTGCCAGGGTCAGAAGGCGACGTGGTGAAAGGAGGAATCCACAGTTTTTTGTTGAAAGACATGTTCATCACACTGTCGGAGTTATGGTTTGGGGTGCTATAGCTTATGGTTCCAGGTCACCTTTAATCTTCATCAGAGGTAACATGAACGCGCAGCGTTATATCCACGAAGTTCTAGAACCCCATCTTTTTACCCTATCTTGACACCCTGGCAGATCCAACTTTCCAACAAGATAATACCCGACCACATGTTGCAAGAGTCACAATAGACTTCTTTCAACATAATGATGTCACATTGTTACCATGGCCACCAAGATCTCCCGACTTATCCCCAATTGAGCACGTGTGGGATATGATGGGTAGGAGATTGCTCAATTTGCAACGTCCTCCTCAGACTCTAGAAGCACTTCGAGAGGAGTTGGTGGTTGCCTGGAATGAGATACCACAGGAGCATATTGACCACCTGATCAGAAGCATGCCTAGGCGCGTTGGAGAATGCGTAGCACATCAGGGTGCATCCACACATTATTAAAGGCTTTAAAGCAGTGCAATCATTTTGAAATTTTTATCATTTACGTATTATGCTTCATTAAGTACTTATACAAAAGTGTATTAAAATAAAACCATTTAAACTGGGTGTTCGGATTTATATGTCACATAGTATATATGTTAGGATCAAAAACCGATTTCGGCCAATGGTCGAGAAAAACGACCAGAACGCGTTCTGGCCACCAGCATATTGCCAATGTCCGAAAAATCGCTTTCCGGCCGTTTAGTATAGATCAAAATGCGTTCTGGCTGTCGTCATATTGCCAGAACGCGTCGAGCATACAAACAAGACGTCCAAAACCCGATTTTCTACGAGTCTAAGCTTGTATCGAATCCAAACCACCCTACTGTCTACTACTCGCAGTAAATGATCATCGCGTAGTCGATGTACGTCGCGTCGGTTAACCTGTTCGTTAAGCCGTGCAAGAATGTCTACTAGTGCCATGGATAGGTTCGTGTAAAAATAAGTAGATGTAGGTATGCCGATACCCCTAAAGCACAAGTTATTATATAGTAAATGTTTTCTGTTTCTGTTAAAACTGAAGTTATTTATTTATTTTGATATCAAAGCAATCAAATATATTTTTTTATATTAAATTGGCCTTTGGACGTTTTGTTTGTATGCTCGACGCGTTCTGGCAATATGACGATAGCCCGAACGCATTTTGATCTATACTAAACGGCCAGAAAGCGATTTTTCGGACATTGGCAATATGGTGGGTGGCCAGAACGCGTTCTGGTCGTTTTTTTCGATCATTGGCCGATATCGGTGTTTCATCCTCGCATGTATACTGGAATGTCTGATCCACTTTAAAAATAATTACGATGATTACAGAACTGCGAAAGAGATTCACAAATATAACACAAGGTTCAACAATGAACTAATACCGGATTACACAAGACTATCAAAAAATACACACGGAAGTAATTCGTTCGGCGTGAAATTTCTTAACGCGCTGCCCAGGTTTTGTCAAACACTCAACCCAACCATTTTTCAAGCAACTGTGAAAAGATATCTAGTGACGAAAGCTTTTTCC